CGGGCGTAAGGCTTCGCATGTCATTTGATAACCCTCTGACCCAACCTCCTGGATCGCGCCTGTATGGCCATACATATATGGCATGACTGCCTATTAAAATACAGTGAATTATCAGCATGGGTTAGGCAGGCGAGGTTGTCCCCGTTGCAGCGAGCGTGCAATATCTTATATACATGAGTGTCTAATATAGTGCCTATATTTATGGACATCGTTGATATATACACACACACACAGGTTGGACGTATAGTGATTGCCCGTAGGCGTATATGTCTCCATGGTCCTGCCGGAACGTACCTGGTACGGTCCGAAATATTACCGGAACGTACCCTAGGTACTATCTAACTATCGCGACCGTACCTCGCCTATCTAACTAACGAGTCTTAGAGGAGTCGCCTACGCTACTCCCTGAACCCAACCTTACCCTAATTCTAACGCCTCTATCAGATAGTTCCAGCGGATACGTTCCCGGCCGCAGTTCCCAGCGGAGACATAAGACTTATCTGCTAGGAGTGACAATGACCAACAATGTGATTGTGAGTCTGTCAGTAGTGATGTAATGTGACCAATAATTCTGCGGTGTACTATTTGTATTTCCAGATAATATTAGTATGCTACCATCTTGAAGTCACATATATCAGTAAAGGCCCCGTCACACTAGAGCTACGCCTCCTCACGATCGCCCCACGCTCCAAAACATATATTGGCCGAGAGTGGTGAGGCATGGCCAATCTCGTAGGCCCCAGCGCCGATACTCGATCATCCTAGTGGTCTTTTAGCCCCCGATTCATTGACGCCCCAAACAAGACTTTCACCACGCTCCATACACGCTCAACACCCACGCGCCGCATCACGCTTGCTACTGCGCCCGCTGCCGTCTTTATGCGGACAATCGATCGCATTGCGTTCAACGACGCTTGCACTGCCCGCCTAAGCAACGCTACCGCGGCCTCAAACTGACGCGGCCAGTTCACGCTCCTATAGTGCCGTTAAGTTCACGCTCTAGCTTAGGCAGGCCCCGACTGTGCGTGGCCACGACATATAAATACGCGTCGCGTTCTAGACGTCATCATTCGTTCTGCTGTGCTGTCACATCAGATTATTTTCTACTAATATATCTTCTATTTTCTCTCCTCATCCTCCTCAGATGATGACGGCTTGGCATCCAAGTATTCGAGTTGTCTTCTACGAGGAAAAAATGCATGGAGTAGTGTTGCCTCATCATAGTGACCTGAGAGTGTGTGTGGCCAGCGGTAGCTACCCTTAATTCTATACCCCAAGTTCGACAGGACGTGATCTGGCTGGTATTTGACGCACTGACCGTATTGCGAACGCCCAACGGCGTGGTCTGAGCATCTAATGTTTGGCGTCACCACGCCACAATCGTGTACGACGGTCGAGCTTGCTAGAGACGCCCATGGTCCATAGCGCACGAGCATGGTCAGGTCGGCAGAGACGTCTCCTACGTAGTACGGCGTGATGAAAGTATTGAGATCGTTGCTGAGAACGGGGAGACAATCTCACCGCACTCGACACGCTTGCACGATACGATCATTAAGTCGTACTTACGCTCGGTTACGTGGGTACTCTACGCCTTCCACGTCTCTAATACGTCCTCACTGCGCTGTCTTTTCGCCACGCTCGCACCACGATTGTTTTGAACATGCTAAAAATTTGGCAACGCTCTCCACGCTCATGGCGACTGCACCGCGCTCGATCGCGATCGCAGTACGTTCATATACGTTCATACTGCGTTCTATGCGTTTCCACCACGCTCTTAGAGCATAGTACGAGCGTAGTGAGATCGGGGCCTGGTGTGACGGGGGTATAAGCTGGTATGCATAAGCCATATAGCTCGTTCAAAGTTATACATTGTAGATGTTGCCAAACAAGGGTTCGCACTGAATAGTGTAATTGTTATTTTGCATTGTACGTATACAGCTGGACCTTCATCATGGCGAGGGCCAAAAGATTGCCTGTTTATTCGAAAAATCGGGAAGGACGGTAGTTGGAATCCAGAGGATACAAAATCTAATGCTGTGGAACAAGTATTGCACGTACGTAGCTTCATTTACTGGGAGTCATGTGTATTATGGGCGTTATTACGGCCCTGATAGAGGGGTACTAACAATCCCAGGTCCCCAATAGAACAATGGCTACTGCATGTCTGAGGGCACGACTGCTAAACTGTCTGAGCAAAATATTCGTACCACGCACGATTGGAAATTAACTCATTGTGCCAGGCAGCAACTTCTTGCCAGAGAAAAAACGGGCAGCAGTCTTACTCACTCCGGCAGAAACATGGGAAAATTATAAAAGCCCAACTCCCTCCCACCCCAACAGTACTGTCATATTGTCTCTGTTATTCAGCCTTGTTTCCCTTTGTTTATTCTAAATTTAGTTACCTATACTTAACCCAAGTTGCACATCAAACGAAGTAATGTCAATGCAATTAGGAAAAAACCTAAACAACTGACCATTGTTTGCCATAGAAATTGCCTGTAACTTTGGTGTTTTTGGTTAGGTTTATTAGGAATTTCTTGGCAGCAAGTATTTGCTGCCGACATTGAGAGCAGTCAGAAAACTGAGCATTGTAGTCAGAAAAACTGCTCCTTACTGCCCCTAATCCCAAACCCTGTCAATGCACCTGCCACGGGCCTTTCAATCTAGACCAGTCTATGTGCTCCTCATTGTGTGCGCACCAAAATGTGACACATCTTCGACAAGCATTTTTTTGGAACCCACCATTGCAGCAGTTATTGGCTAGATCTGCCTGTCAGTCATTCCAGACAGATAGGTCATTGTACTGCCTTTTTGTGTGTTGAAGCTGATCAGCACCCGCAGTGTTTAGTAAGCGAACTGCTCCTCAGCTACGTAGTTCAGTTGCTTGAAATGTTGTCAAAAATCGTCTCGCTAGAAATGGCTGGAATATGTGATCTGTTGAGAGCACCTGTGGTAACTGCATATCTGTACACATTCACAGAAAGCGAGAGGAGATACGATCGATGTTAGGCAGGATGACAAAGAAAGAAGAGAGGACATTGTTCCATGGGACTATTCCAGAAAATGTTGAAGCAATACTCCATTTAGGATTCGACTGGCGTCTGAGCGGAGAAAACGTGGGCGTGAAGTTTGGTACGTGTTAATTGCGAAATGAGAGATTCTTTGCAGTGAAATAGATGTGTTATATGTGTGTATATATATTTACTATATCTATATATACAGGCCCGTAGCCAGCTTTATATTGGGTGGGGGGTTCGTTTTTAAATGTTGCCAATTTGTGAGGGCGCGAAGCGAATCACTTGTGTGCTTTGCTCGGGTGTGTGTGTCAATCGTTCTGCTACACAGCGAAACGCCACAGACGGTCTCCAATCAATATCCTTAAAAATATCACATGACACACAAAATTGGATGTCCATTGGATGGCTATTTTTGATGTCATGTGACAGCGGTGCTGTACGCAGTGTTTCTGTATATTTTGCTCAGCTGTGTGCTGTGTCGGGTGGCGTGGATGCGCTTGCTCGCCGAGCAGAACGCGAAACGCTGGAAAACAAAATTTCCCGTTTTGCTCGGGTGTGTGCGCTAGGCTTAAGCAACAGTCCTCTTTTTAAAGATAAGAGGTGCTACCGAAATGGTTCAAAATTTATGCAGACATTTGTGCTAAATGGAGTTTAAAAATTTTTAAATAGCCCTTTAAGGATACTCTCCACGTTGTGCACGGGTATTGCTCTAGTGAAGATTAAACATTTATTGGCGAATGAATCGAATCAATCACTTGTTTTATTTATAGAGGAGATATATCTCTATGCTCAAGCCAAAAAATTTCATGAAATTTCCAGCACCTAATTATGTTACCACACAAATTTTGAATTTTTATGTAAAAATGGTATTTTGGATATTTCTCAACTACCAGAAAGAGTGAGGATACAACATTTTTGCCACATGGTAAGCACAATATGGACCAAAATAGCGCGTCAGGATTTTTCTTTACTTTTCATATTTACCGAGAAAACTCGAAAAAAGTGCAAAAAAATCAAGTTGTGTGTTAAAATTGAAAATTTTAGCGAATAAGGAGGCATAACTAATAAAGTACGGCACTTAATAACAATCCCTGACGCGCTTCTTTACCACAATATGTTACCATTAAAACGAGTGTAAAATTAAATTAATCCGAGTTGTAATCACAGAGAAATATCCATTTATACATCGGCTACTATGTCAGAAATCGAAACGGAGAAATCATCGTTTTTCTATTTTTCACAATGAGTGACCGCCTGTGTGCAAAATGGGTGAACGTATGTGATATATCTATTGTCAGTACTTACTGCGACATATCCATGACTAACTGACACCACTAAATTGGTAAAATGTTCCATGCACCTTGAGAAATTCTCAGAAATTACTAGGTTACCATCGCAGAACGCACGAACTCCGCTCATCCTGACGTCACAAAGCTAATATGTCAACAAACGCGTGCCTTGTACTGCACTACAGTAAGGTGTGTTGCGAGGTGTTAGAACTATTTTGGGCGTGGGATACTTGTTGGATCACTAGCAGATGTACATGAATGTACATGAATACATGTAATGACAGCTGTAGCAGAGTTGATGCTGAATGATACTGGCTATAATTAATATCGTGGTTGTATCATGTCTCTGACGTCATAATGACGTCAGTAGCTGCTTACTACACATGTACGCGGGCAAGCAAAAACGCTCTGACAGTTCACATGTACCGTTATATGGAGAAATGAGCATGTACACAGGTGGCACATAGTGTTAGCCATCGAATAAAGTTAACAAACGAAAAATCGATGAAATTTCATGGAAAACGTGGAGAGTATCCTCAAAAAAGGCTTCAAAACCCCCTTACGTACAAAATTTAGTACCCGGTCTTTTTTCACTGTAAATCTATTATTATCTACTTCAGAAGTTATCATTATATAGATAGGCCCTATGCTGTGAACAAAAGAGTGTTTACGTACTCGCTTGTATATATTTTGCACTATAATATTTTCTTTAAAATTTCACGTGGTTGATTTATCATGATTTAAGGGCGTGAGTGTATTATCTTACAGGGCAAGGAAGTTACTTTGCTCGGGATGCTAGCTACGCTTGGAATTACGGCGGCCCTGATCAATTGGGAATTGAATATATGTTCGTGGCAACAGTTGTAGTTGGAGATTATGTCGAAGGTAACAATTCTGGGAGATGTGAAGTGCGCACGAGATGAAAAGGAGTAATATATCGAGATAGGGAGAGGAGGATGAGGAGGATGAGGGGGAGGAGGAGGAGGAGTGTAATGTTTTGCTGTAGTTTCCAGCGGTCAGAAAAAAATGCCATAAGAGTAATGAACTTTTCTTAAATATAGGAAAGAGTGATTACAGGCGGCCACCTAGCAAGCTACCAGGAATAGAGAGACCAGTGAGACCCTGCGATTATTACTGCAGTTGTGTAAACAAGCGACAAAACCCCACTGTCTTCGTTGTCTTTGATACTGCTCAAGCCTACCCCCAGTATGTAATTAGCTATATCTAGGTATATTGACAACAGCTGGCGACATGTGCACCATTGTTAGACAAAATTCCATGGACATCCATGCGCGTTCTAAGCAAATAATAAGAAAAAAGTAATACAGATTGCTAAGCAAATTCTAAGCAAATGATGTTTTGATATTTGTTGAGTAGAAGCTGGCGGTCAAGTAATAATGCCAGTCAGTCGGCCCGTCGGGTCAACGTTCTATTGATTTCAAATGTTCTTTATGAATTATGGTAAATATTTGCGGTGTGTAGTGTGCTAGTCACATCTGTAATTATGCAAATAGTCAAATACTCAGAGTCGGATGTTAAATTATGTTTGTATGTGGTTAAATTAGATTATATAAATTTCACATAATGTATATATGAGCTCTATCTATGATATATGTATATCTATGATAGTCTCACTTATTAAACTTGCTCTCACCTGGGATAAACGATGTAAGCAAGGGCAAAGGTAATGACTTCTTGCTTCTTGCGCGTATTAATCATGGCTGTTCCCTCGTGATCAATTATGTCATTGTAGCCGCTGTGTTACGTACATAACGTGGGAGGGAAAGACCACCCTGAAGCAGAAGCGTATATTTCGTGTATTCGTTCTGTTTTTTTCTTTAATTATATGCATTAAGCATTAAGCATTTGTATGTATGTTGTTTTTCACCCGTTTATTTAGAGTACATACTAAAATCGTGTCATGTCATCAAAATGTAATACATACTAAAATCGTGTGTCATGATCATGCAAAAATGTAATTAAATCTATCGATTTCCTGAAGTAGCAGAAATCGTCTTTACATTGTAAAAACTAAATTGATTAATAACATTTATCGTTGTAAAACATGAATTACCTAGCTGTTGCTGTGAATCGACGCACGCGTGACTTATTACGTTTATCTAAACCTCAGTGATACCGGAGAGGAATAGTAGATACAAATATGACAAATATATAGCAAATATCCAATTCCAGAGCTTTCAGCATTTTAATTATAGCGGCAATCCACATCCCAGATGAGACGGGATAAACTTAGGAAGCGTTGCCCGAAAGGTAAGATTGATTCAGCTCCAATTGCGCTGAAGGCGCAGCCCGTCTAATCTTTTCGCGCAGCTTCCGGCGGCAAGGCGCACGCGACCGCCGGAACGTCCTAGGAAGCGACAGTATGCAAGCGCTTGGCAGCTATGGATCCGTGCGCGCCGAATGAAAATTGGCGGGCGCATACGATCCAGCTGCGCAGCGAAACAGATTCCGCGAATTTATGGGGGAACCACAGAGGTAGTACATTGGGACGCTCAACATGTTGACTTCTTAAAACTGTAAACGCGAGTAATGCACTTTGCGTAACCGACGGCTGTGTGATCAGACGAAATCACAGAAAGACTGTTCGAGAATTTATGAACATCGCGAACCTAGGCCACAGTAGATGGAAAGCAAAGTCTTCCAGAATCACGAAACACCACTGACCCGCGGCTCTTGGCGCGCCCGGACAACCTGGGAACGGTTTATGCAAACGTCGAGAGATGCGAAGGGCTTTTACGACAAGGAGTTGGAAAGCCAGTGCGCCGCCTCCCGCTCGCCTATAGCCCATATAGACTGCACTCTCTCGGCTACCTCTCGGCTTATGCTAGTCACTCAATGGCTGAACAGAGGCTGGAGCGAGTCCTAGGTCTATATATAGCCCCATTTGCACCCTCGCAAGCCATTCTTGAAAGGAGAGTAGGCCTATACGAAAGAAAACATTCAGCGAATTTCTGTAGTAAATTTATGACTTTCGAGTATTTTAATAGCATTATATTTTATGTGAAAACGCTTCAAGTGCGCCTGTGTCTAAGTAATAAAAAAGCCTAGGGTATCCCCTAACCCTAAAAGCAAAGTAGCGTTTCTTGTCTAGTTCGTATAGTAAGTACTAGTAGTACTAGTGTTTCAAAGATAGAGAACATTGCTCCTACAATATTATATGGGCCACAAATGTATGGCATCGGCAATTAGAACAAATCGTCATTACATCCAATCAAAATATAATATTAATAATCAAATAATCGAGCGTTAGGCGTTATGGGATGTAGGCTTAGGGTTCGTCAGTTATTTACTAATTAGTAAATATATTAAATACTCTAGTAAAACAGAGATAGTCATTAAATTAGCTATTACTATTAGCTTCGGCGTCCTGCTCCTGGTAAAGTGTACTATATGATACTGAGTAGTCGGCTGTAACTTCAGGTAGTAACTACTACATACTAGTACTATAGTAGATAAGTAGTAGTGGCGGTACGGGTAACAACAGACATATTTTCGCGCAAACGCCCACCCCTTGTACACACGGTCTTCTAGGCCGCTAAGTTCGCTTACAGTCTAAACGGAACTGATGATCAGTTTGCTTTAGCGTGCAGGCTTGAAATCGTTCCTGCCAGTGCGCTGGTAAATATGCAAAAAACGGCAATAAACGCGGCTAAGTCTGAGAGGAGATGAGAGCGCCCAAGGGGCTGAACAGTTCGATAAGGAGACCAGCAAGATTGGCTACGAACAAACACAGCGATTGTGCACGATTCTCAGGTTAAGACTGCACGGACGGTAAATACTCGGGCTGCAAGTCTGCTTCGGCATACAGCTATACAAGTTTATAGTTACTCGCAGCGTGTCAAACTAATGCAAGCCGCGGCCCGTCTCAACGAATTTGATGTGGCAAAATGACTCGAAGTAGAGCCTACGTGGCGCCGACCTATGGGCCGCGATACATGACGAGAAATAACTTCAGGGCGTTAAATAAAATAATTAGAAATCGTTTTATGAGAAGAAAAAAACGCAAGCGCAGCGAAACCAAATCAAATACGAAATACGACCATGTCGATTTATTCTCGCACTACGATGCAAAAGTCAGAAAATTCGCAATGGCCGAGAAGCGTGCTCAATACTCAGCGTTCTGGGCTTTATGAGTAACTACACACAGATTAGCGTAAATAGTTAACATATTCAGCAGAGTTATCGTGTAAAAGTGGCACCACCAGGTGGATGCTGTTACGCGATCGCTTCGCGCAGATATACCGGGCTGCTGACTGATCCAGTAAGCAAGACGTCCATAAACACCACAGGCATTGTATGCAACTTCCCATACGAAAGGTGATGGTCAAGTTACGAGCATGAAAACTTGGGTACGGCCGTCGTTAGTATCAATTGAATAGACGTTGCAACATAGCAATTTGTACGTCACATGAAAGGTGTAGAACAAAAACAAATAATTTTCGCCAAAGTTACATATTTTCAATGCGGCAAAGCTTCACAAAAATAGCATTGGCAGGAATGGCATTAACTCAAGTATTCCATGAAACCACATATAATACGAAGGGTACATTAACAAAAAAGCCTGGTGACAAGTAGTAACATACAATTAGCAATCGCATGAAGAAGCGGGAAATCATTTAGCTCATCATCAATCATTTCATTCGAATCTACGTTCGTTAGATGCCAGTGTTGAACAGTCGCAGAGGTCAGAAGTCACTGGGTGATGCGCCTTATGCAGCTTCCAACAAACTTGTAATATTATCCATTAAAGTAACCAGTAAATTCCAGAAAGTTACCGACTAACTTGCTATTATTACCTCAGAGTGATGTAACGCCTAATATATACTCATTGGTTCAAGAAGCACTAAGACCATCGCACTAACTGGAAAGTCGCCGAAACAAGTAAAACGAATTTATCATAGGTTGTGCAGAAAACAAAATGTTAAAATTGACACAATTAATCAAATAGTATCTTGCTAAGTATAGGTTACAATTTTTTGTCAACGTCATTCGCAGAATTCCAATATATTCAATTCTAAATCATGGCTAGGGAATTACAACTTCGTCAGAACTTGCCATTTAGACTAATAATAAAAAATACAAACTAACGAAAATAATCTTATTCTTGACGAGTAGCATAAGTAATTATGAACAGCTTCAAACATATAGTCATGCAGATGTATCGATCTATGATATATGGATCGCAATTTCAATGAAGAACTCAGCAAAAATACAAGAAAGCGATTTATAATCGTCGGAAGTAAACCAATTGTTATATGTTAGTGTTAGCAATTGATTAGCCAACCATAAGGGCGATTACAGTAAAATTACAAGCAATTCCAAAAAATGATAATTAGTAACAAATTTCAGTAACCTGTTATTGTGTTCACAAATAGCACCTAACACGGATGACAGTTACTATAGTTAGTCGGATTACAACATATAAATCTATCACAGCAATAATATAACCACAATCCTAAACAATGAATCAACGGGAATGTTGATGTCAAGGTAATCTTGACGTTACAAATAGAAGTAACAATCAGAAGAAGTAAGTCATATTATATGTGCCTTTACATTGGCAATTCGATGTCCAATGTGATTACCACCAGTTGGCCCACGAGACAATCAAACGACCAAAAACTGAAGACAAAACAAACAGGATGAATAACGGAAGAATACGACTACCCGCAAAAATCCTCAAACGTCAAAGCCACATGCCAGATCGTTCAAAAGTAGCCCTACAACCGCAAATATCACCAAATCTCCATAAACTATTAGTATTGGGAGCAGTTACTGTTAAACCAGCTACGTCTAAAAGAAAAACATGCATTAAAAACGAAATTAAAAAACCATTTGTGAACGCTTGTCCAATATCGACACTCAATCAACAATAACACTATAATGGTAAGCTACAAACTAACCGCAAACTCAATTATCAAATGCTCTGTACAAACAGGATATTTTCCATCATCAGTTTCTACTTCCACTTCGCTTTCTCAATAATTACACCCTTACTAAGAACATACACGCGTATATGAAAGCTCCATCAAATGAAGAAGTGAGCCATACTCACCAAGCCCTCTACCGAGTGCGCAATCATCATTTCCGATAACAATTACTTTGCGCTTAGTTATGTACAGTGTGTAAGCTCACGGGGAGCAGGTCTAAGTTATAGACGACCGAGACAACACGCGAACCCGGAAATAAGTCCCTAGAAGTCAACGCTATCGTTACCAGCCCGTTCCTGCCCCTTATATCGATACGGTCAAGCTCAGCAAGTCAACGCTACTTCATTACTATAGTTACATGTGAAATCAAAAAACCCGATAATTACATCAAACTAAAGCGCCGCACTAGTAACATACAAGAGAATTGGCAGCTTCTAGCCAGAGCTCTACCTAAGCAGGGTAGCTGCGATCCCATCGTGGAATGCGCAGGAACTGCCAGATGAGGAGCGAAAAACGGCTTTCCTGCTCTCCTGAAAGGACGCGATACTGTGGCGTTGAAAGTAAAAGGCACGTACGAGTCGTTGAGTAAACGTAAGCGCCACTCACGTGGCGTTGAGCAGCTCGCCGCGGAATCCGCTGCAGATCGTCAGGACTCAGCGAGAGAGGAGAAGAAAAGGATGTGCGCCAATAAAAGCAGGCGTAGAGGAAAGAGCATGGAGTCAAGCGGCGCGGAATAAGAGGTCGCCTCCAAGTTAAATTTTTCGCGCCTCACCCACACTCTATCACTGTCGCCCCTACTCTCTACGTCGCCTGCCCCGCCCCCCAGACACCAAGCACCATCGTCCCTCCCCAA